TTTCATTTTGTTTTTTGTCCTTTGTGTTTTGTCTTTATTCCTTTCTTTCTTTAAAAAAAAAAAAAAAAAAAAAAAAAAAAAAAAAACTAGATTGTATTGCTTTCGTTTTGTTTAAATTAATATCTGATCATTTTTAATTCCTCTTATTCTGATTTCCTCAATTTATCGACTTAATTATTTTAATTTCTTTCTTGCCTTTCTTTTCACTCAGTTCGATTACTTTTCTTTACTCTTTTCTGTTTTGTTTGATTTTGTTTCCTAAGTCCAATAGTGCTAGCTACTTCATAACACCTGCACAGAAAACCTGTAATTTCCTATTTACAAAATAACCATTTAATTTAACATCTAGAAGAAAAATACCTAGTTTATCATCTAAAACATAAACCCCTAATTCAACATTTATAAAATAAACCTTCAACGCCAACAACAGTTAGTTTAATTTAGCAGGTACAAATTAAACCTTACATTTCACTTCCGCCAACAACACTAAACATTAACTTAACATTTACAACGGAAACCAAAAATTCGATATCTACTGCAGAAATGTTACGTCACAGCTAATTTATAAATTAAAAAACAATTCTTCAAAATTTAAATAGGGACCTAGCGGATCATTAGAAATGCTAACCAAGATATACGCATTTGAGTAATAAATCAACCATAAATCTCTAAAAGTTCGCGTCCTGACGGAGCCCGCATTTTTTTTTTTTAAATTAAAAAATGACCTTAACTCCCAGGTCGACTCAGTATTGAGTGGGTAACAGGTACAGTCCTGGGAAGTAAAGGTGGCCGGTGTGATGCTGACCACATCACTCAGCAAGTGTCGATTGGTCTATACAACTATAGGTCTAGCCCTATATTCCCAATAGGCCTAAAGGCGTGGAAAAGGTCCTTTACTTTTACTTCACTATAAATCTCTAAAAAGATAACAGAGAGAGTTATATTTAACAGAATGAAAAGGACAATGACTTTTAAAACAGTAATAAAGAAGTCAACTGACTAACATTCATCCCTACCTAGACACCACAGCCAGCGGTAAACACCCGATGATGCAAAGTGCCGTCTTCTCTCTTTATTTCCCCGTCTTCTCGTATTCCCACTCTTTCCGTTGCCAACTGAAGATGGTATCAAGCACAGAACACGCACTCCGTAGCTCCGTAACAAGCTAGATATTGTGAGGACCCGGGAACAAGTGAACCTTACGGAGGCGCAGACATATCATTATTAATCTGAGGAGAATGGCGCTGCGAGGAGTTACCAGGGGATCTGGCCAACGCTCAACACTCAGGGGAAGGATGAGACGGATATACAATCAGACGGCTACTGGTTCCAACAGACTTAGAACTCTTCGCTTGCTGCTGAAGACGGGGGACGGAGCACTTATGAGAGTGACCCGAGTGCTGTGATGTCGATTCTTAATTCAACATTTAACATTCATTCTTTTTTTTTTTAAATACCAAGTGTCAGACATCTGAAAAGGATCACCTGTGGACAGTTCCCAGAAACCCCGTTCAAGTCAGGGTGGGGCTTTAAAAAAAAAATTGAGTCCGACATTGAGATTCAGTGCCGTTATTGATCGAAGTTAACATGTGCATGTAATGGTTAATTAATGAAGTCTAGACGTTACTTTCGTAATGCGGTCCGTTGTGATGTTTGGATTGGTGAGTGGAGTCTTGTGTGGGCAAGTAACGGATCCCCAAAACAGCAAACTCAAGTGCTCTCTGCAGATTTTTGTATGGGTAGTGAGCAGATTGTTGTATAGGTAGGCAGCATATTATTGTATGGGTAGGCAGTATATTGTTGTACAGGTAGGGAGAGGGATTCTGGGTTGTTGTGAGGGGAACGCCACATTGCCGCGAATACCACTCTTTATAAAGAGTAGCCGATCGACGTCGCTTGGCACTAAGTTAACCAATATGATGCCTCTAACGACCACACATTGTCACAGTGTCAAGCCATCTATCCTCAACAAGACAAACCGCCCCAGGAACCCGATCTGGTTTTAATTTCAATTAGCAGCTGTCATGTGGACTAGTTTAGATAAGAGTTAATTGTTTCAAAAACACCACCAACCAGAACTTTACTAGCTGTAATTTACAGTCCCCGACCACGTCAATATGTCATCAATCAATCAAACCCGGCAATGAGGGGTACCCAAACAGTCCAACGAAGAGACTCGGGTCCTAAAGTTTGGGTTACTTGAAGAGATGTCCAAGAAAAAGCCCCCGGGTCAACCCTAAACAGATTTCACAGGAATAATATTATCATCGTTTGCTGTCACTCAACAGATGATACGCATTAAGTAGGATTTAGTTTTCTGTGTGCTGAACCGTCCGAAATAATTGCCATCAGTCGTTAGAATATGTCCATCGAAAGACCAATAATTTCTAATGACTCCTCGGTAGAGGGATAGAGACTTCACGGGATTACCATAAGGGTTTTGGCAGTAGGACCAAGGGGGACAGCATTTCCCAGAAGGTCCGCTAGGGAATTCAATGAGGACATGGGCCAAACGTGGCTATTAGTGTCTTTATCAGGAAGCAGGGCTTAGGGCGTTGCTGGTCTGGGTTTGTGTGTGGGTTGTAGGTGAATTAAGTTGTGTTATTTCCAGTCTCTTCCTTTCTATTATGTTGTGTGCAGATAATATTCAGTGTTGTGACAGCATGATAATTAACAGGCTTGTGGAGTTATTTTCACCTGTTTCCAATAATCAAGCCAATATTTACTTTTCTTGTGAGCAGGATGCTGACAGCGATACAAGTGGGAAGATAACATCATGATAAAGATAAAGAGGAGTCTTAGAGAAAGGAGATTTAGAGCGACAACGAAAGAGAATGATAGCGATCAGTTACATTCAATCTGTACTGGTATCTTTTTCTTCTTTGCGTTCACCGGTTGTAAACTTCCAGTACTTGAATTCTGCGTGTACATCAGTTTTACAGATCTGGCTTATTTGAATGCAGACTGTTGGTTCGTCGCCTCGCAGACAGATATGATTCAACTTCAGAGAGAAAGTCCCTGATTAGTCGCCTTTTACGACATGCTTGTTAGAAAGGCAGTAGTTCTATCTCTCTCTCCCCCCCCCACCTCTCCCCTCCCCCCACCTCGCCATACTATGCACAGGGCGAATTAATTAACTGATTACTTTTTCTGCTGGAAGCTGCCGTCGAGTGGCGGCTACACCGCTACCTGTTGCTCCGAAGATTGTCTATGAAATGTCCTGGGATGTAAAGGCGGTTGGCGTGATGTTGAACATACTACCCACGATTGCTGATTAGGAACAGGGCTTGTCCCCTACAGGATTGCATTCAGAAGGATTAACGTCTCAGTGATGAGAACCAAGCAGGTACGAATACCCGAAAAGCCGTTTAATCGTATGGCTGTATAGCACAGTATATGAGCAAGTATGTATACCCAAAAAGCCGTTTAACCGTATGGCAGTATAGCACAGAATATAAGCAGGTATGTATAACCGAAAAGCCGTTTAACCGTATGGCCGTATAGCACAGTATATAAGCAGGTATGTATAACTGAAAAGCCGTTTAACCGTATGGCCGTATAGCACAGTATATAAGCAGGTGCGAATACCCGAAGAGCCGTTTAACCGTATGGCCGTATAACCCTATAGCACAGTATATATGCAGGTATGAACACCCGTAAAGTCGTTTAACCGTATGGCCTTATAGCACGGTATATAAATAGTGAAAACTAAAGTACATGACTCTAGTCCACGCCTTCGGGTGTACTGGGCACACAGGGCTAGACCTATATTTTATAGACCAATCGGCACTTGGCGGGGGACGTCGTCAATACCACACCTGCCGCCTTGACTTCCCAGGATAGTACCTGGTACCCATTAAAGTTTGGGTCGACCCGGGAGCCAAGTTGGTTTTAAAAAAAAAGTCTGGCTCTACCAGTCATACTGGTCGACCCCTGCCTCTTCTACTATGTACCATACCCTCTGTTATCTATTTCAGTTGCAAGCAACGCCAAATGGATTTATGAATTAACCGCTTGAATCCCCTCCATAGTATAACGTATTTCTTTTTTTTTTTTACCCTTGGTCAGAACACGCTAAAGACATCTGGCTTTTCCAAATGGTCACTACCATTACGTATATTGAAGCTTTGACAGCAATGTAATCACGATTTTTTTTTTCATCATGGCTTTTGTCTTCACTTTAGAATCTCTGATACCTTCTGATACTTAAAACGTCACAGCTAAGGAAAAGTGTGTGGGGAACAAATGGGAGCGGGTCAGCTAGCCCTTTGGGCGAAATATGTTTTGAAAAAAAAATTGCTTTTTTTGTGTGTGTGGTTATTATATTGTTATTATTATTAGTATTATTAGTGCTAGCTGGCAAATAAATAAAAGGTAAACGTAACGTTAATGTTCCCAAATCCCGCCTATATAACACACTAGATCCCTTCTGATTAGTAGTTCCTGAGCCTCGTTACCTTCGCATAAGGTTAGAGCGGTGTTCCGCGATACCGTTGATATCAGGTATTGTATATTTCAGTACACTAGTGCTTTTAACGCTCCAAAAACATGGAGCACTGGCCCTAATGCAACCCCTAGAGAGCGCTGCAACCTATGTCACAGACATTCTCTTTCTCGGAATTAAAACGTAAATACAAGACAACCGAGAAAGCAACACAATAGAGCGGGACACACCTGCAACCTTTAGGAAAGTCGACCAGCTGAACAAATTTGTGAATGAAAAGTGACCTACTCTATTTGGGGAGATTTGCGTAAAGTTTACCATATAACTGAAATTATATGAAACGTATATATACATATTTTATTGAAACCCACTCCTGGCTGCGTGGATTATCATCATTGTATGGGGCGTCTCTAAAACGAGGTGCAGTACCAGACAGCTAAAGCTTCAACATTCTGGCGCCTATACTACACGATAGATTTTACTAAGGTTCCTGTTATACCTTCTCTGACAGAAGGATCCCAGAATTAGAACAGACGTGACACAACGAGAATCTCACCTGCCAGATTTCGTGATGACCATCTCCGACTCCAAGCCGTGAAACTTCTCCCAGAGTTCCCTGTCCTCCAGCTCCACAGTCGGACTGTCCCTGTCGCCATCACCTTTCATGTCCAAGCAGTGTGGCGCAGGCGATAGATACGTCTGGTGGGGAGCTGAGCATAGTTGAGGAATGGAATTGAATCCGTTGTGGAATGTCCGTGTTAATGCCGGGTGTCCGATTAGACAGGGGTTGTAAGTGTGCGGTGTTGCCCAAAGTGCAGATAGATATTGGTTTGAATCCATTAAGGATCTGATTATATAACTGTCAAAGTAGCCGGAGTATAGTGAAGGGTTGAAAGCCATCTTGTTCGCCAAATACTCAGGACCAGTATTCTAGAGACTATGAGGTATAGTATTCAAATTTACACTGATATTTGTTGATGAAAGTTTGTAAACTTCTTTACAGCTTTCAAATGTGTAGTTCTCCTATTGTTATCTTCCTATGGACACCAAAGCAGATTGTCGGGCTAACCTAACAGTAATGGTCAAAATACTAGAGACTAGAAGGTGTTGTATTCAAATATATACATGTACTGATATTTGTTGAGGTAGGTTTACAGTTCTTTTACAGCTTTCAGGTGTTTTGTTTTATTACTGTTGTCTTCCTTTTGGACGCCATAACAGATTATGAGAACTTTATCTGAAAAAAAAAATATATATATATATTTTTGGTTAGTCAGCAATTTAATATAGGTAATTTTATCTAACAGAAGAATTCTTAAAATCCCACGAACCAAGTAGACGAAAAAGACCGACAATGCGCATGTTCTGCGAATCGCGGAAAATTGGCTCATAAACAGCATTCTGTCCGACAGCTGAGGTATTTTGGCTGTGTTAAACGTCATGGTGAGCTGTAGAGAACAGTGAATGAGGGTAACATGTCCGGAGAACGAGGCAGAGGCAGACCACCGTGAAGGTGGCCACAAGACACTGACGATGCATTGGCTATGAAAGTACACAGGACCCGAGAATGAGCTGTGAGGACAGCGATGTTGTAAAGGACCTACTGACTGATGATGGTAATACATTGACGATGGAGAGATAACATCCAGACAGACCTACAAGCACTTGGTGTAACCAACTGCAAATAATATGAAATGGGTAAAACTATAGGGTACATATCATATACAACACTAATTCCCATTCAAGGTTGGGTCCACCAGGAAGCGCATATATATAGTATGTATGAAGTAACAGAAGTATAGCATGTATTAAGTGCATGTATATGTATGTATGATATACGTATGTTATTGTACATGTATGTCTATATATCACTAGATACTAGAGTACCACCGGTCCAAGCCACAAGTTTTCATGAGGTTCACATTTCTTAGCTAACGTAACTGGCACAAAGAAACTATTCCACAATTATAACCGACACTGCTAGCAGTAGGTCGAATGTGGTCAACTTTTTTGTTTTGTTTTTCATACATGGATGGATGGATGGATGGAACAGGAGGGGTGAATGGAGGCGGGTCATATCTGCAGCAATTAACCTCAAGGGTCCGGAATGCTGAAGAAAAAGACTATATTAAGAGTAAGACATTAACACACTGTATAACAAACTTGTGACTGGATATTACAGTCAAAACATCTTATGCATATTTCTGTATCTTAAGTTTTAGTCTTGGTAACGCATCTGTCTTCTATATTGTACTGCATATTTAATCCACGAGGGTGTACTATGCTCATAGTTTCGTTGTTGTTACTATCAAAACCGGACATCGGGTATGATCTCCTAGAGATGAGTGAGTAAAATCACCCCAAACGACTTTACTTAACCTACCGGTATCAATTTTAGCCTGGGGCTTGGCTGACTTAGCAAAACAAAGTCAATCATACTCATTCTCCCTCGTGTGGATTCCGGGGGCGGGACACAAATAGACCCTCTGTCTGCCTAACAAGCGTGTCGTTACATTCAAATAATAAGGGGCTTTGTTCGATGTCAGAGGGCATCTGCCTGAGAGGCCAGGAACCAACAGTCTGCATACAGATAAGTCAGATGCGTAACACGAATGTACAGACGAAACTCAAGTTCTGGAAGTAAACGGAAGTCCAGAAGTGGAGGAACTGCGAGGACTTTCTGCCGAAGTTTACTGCCGGGGAACGACAAGAAAGAAGAAGATACTCATTCTCAGGGGCGACATTGAGACTGAGACGGGGAAAAATGCGGAAAAAGCGGGGGGGGGGGGGGGGTTATAATTTACTAGGGGCAGAGACTTCAAGCATTGCATAACTGTGCTATCACAATAATTATTCCCATTATTATCACCATCATCATTATGTGCTGAATGGCAAGGGAAAAAAAGTGATTTAAAATAATATGAAATGCATCAACAACGCTTTAAAAAACGTCTTTATTCGGTGAGAGGTCGGGGGTGGGGGGGGGGGGCTCTTTGTGCCTGAGCTCCTAGATTCCGTTGCCTATGCTGATTCGCCTCGACGAGGATTCGAACTTAAGACCTTCAGACACGCAAGCAAGCTCCCGACTTCTGCGCTATGGAGAAGGGGAAGCCACTGCATTATTTTCTGAGATTATAAATATAAGCGTAGATGACAATGAAACTCCGCTAAGACCGGTCCCAAGCCCGGCTGTAAAAGGAGGAGGGTCTGGCTGAACCTGAGTGCTTCATGCGTCTCCGGAAGTAGTGGGTAACCGTGAATCAGCCAGACGGCCTGCATGGAGGCCGCAAGGAGGCAGCCCCTCCACCATGCAAAGGCACAACAGGCCAATCACCTGTTTGCCTTAAACCACGATTACAAGTAACTACAGAGAGAAAACCGGACGGATCTTAACGGCGACGAACTGGCATGGCTTACGGACTACGATTTATGGAACATGGAATATAAGAGGCATTAACGGAAAGGAAAACGAGTTAGTAGGGGAGATGAGGAAAGCAAAATTAGGAGTCTTGGCTCTGACTGAAACCAAGAAAAAGGGGCAAGGAATCACAGATCATGATGGAAGTATGCTTCTCTATAGTGGTGTCCCTATGACGGAGAGAGCCAAGGGAGGTGTTGGCTGCATTGTGGCCAGGAATCAAGTTAGTAACATCAAGGGATGGAAATTCATCTCAGAGCGAATAATGGTGTTAGATCTGAAAGAAGAAGATAAAATTGTCAATTTTTGTCATTGTGTACGGGCCAAATGAAGATGAGCGAGTAGATGTTAAAGAAGAATTCTTTGAACTGCTCCAAAAGACCATAGATGACTGTCACGATGAAATTATCCTCCTAGGAGATCTAAATGCCAGAGTAGGAAATGATCACTCTAGATGGGGTGGAGTGATCGGGAGATATGGTGAAGATGTTTTGAATGATAATGGCAAGCGACTTCTCAGATTCTGCAGGGAACAGAACCTTGTCATTACAAACACAAAATTCCCCCACAAGCGTATACATGCATACACAAGATGTGAACCTTCAAAGAATGAAAAATCCATCATTGACTACGCCATAGTTAGGAAAAGTTCTTTCAAGTTTGTGAGAGATGCCAGAGTCATGAGAGGACCAGAGATTGGAAGTGACCACTATCTGGTCACAATAAAGAGAACAACTGAAAGAACTGCTCCAACAAGGCAACACCGACAACTATGCAAGAAACCAAGCAACCAAGAAGGGATGAGGATTAAAGCATACAAGCTAAGAGAGCCAGATATTAAGGCTAGATACCAGGAGCTTATAGTGAAAGCAATAGGAACTGAAGAAGAATCATCAGAGGACACTGAAAACTCTCTGGTGCAGATTCAAGAATATCCTCACAGCAGCTGCAGTAGAAGCATGTGGTGAAGTCCCAAGTGGAAGGCGGGGACACAGGACACCTTGGTGGACAGAAGAAGTCAAATTGAAAATAGGAGAAAAAGAAAAGGGCATGGAAGCAATACCTGGCAGCCAGGAACACAGCTGAAGAAATAGAAAAATATAAACAATATGTGGCACTCAGAACAGAGACCAAAATATTGTGCTTAAAGCAAAACAGAAATCATGGGAAGAGTTTGGAGAAAAGTTGGAAAAGAATGCAAGAGAAAACCAAAAACTGTTCTACAAGACCCTTAAGAACATGAGGAAGGAGAAAGAGTGCCCACTTAAATTCATAAAAGACAAGGAAGGGGCTCTGCTTACTTCTACAAATGATATCATGGGCAGATGGAAAGAATACTTCTCAGAGCTCCTCGGCGCTGAGGGAAGTCATGACCCAGAAATAATGGACCTCACTGCTGAGAAGGAATTCAATCATGGGGAAGATAACATCAGGATGGAAGAAGTGAAGGCAGCTATTGAGAAGATTAAGCTAGGAAAAGCAGCAGGTCATGATGGTATAACACCAGAGATGGTCAAATATATGGGGGTCGCAGGTGAGCGCCTTCTACTGAAGGTTCTCCAGGCAGCCTGGTGTAGCAAAACCATACCAAAAGATTGGGAGATTGCCATCATTATACCTATATTTAAAAAAGGTGATAACAGACAATGTGAAAACCACAGAGGCATATCCCTCCTCAGCATTCCCGGTAAAAGTTACTCTAGAATTCTTGAGCAGAGACTTAGAAGTCTGGTAGAGCCACAGCTGGACGAGGCCCAGTGCGGCTTCAGAGCAAACCGAAGTACTCAAGACCTTATCTTCACACTGAGACAGATGAGTGAAAAAGCCCTGGAATATAAGAGTGAGATTCACTTATGTTTTTTGGATCTGGAAAAGGCATTTGACAAGGTACCCTGGAACAAGCTCTGGGACTGCTTGGCAGGGAAAAACATCCCAGCACCCCTGATCAGTGCAATACAGAGTTTCTACAAAATGTGCAGAAATTATGTAAGAACAGCAGACCAAAAGTCAGAAGAATTTAAGACCACCAGCGGTGTTAGACAAGGTGATATTCTCTCACCTTACCTCTTCATTCTTATGATGGATGATGTCATCAAGACCTGTAAGGAGAAGACAAAGAAGTACTCTGTAGGGTACTGGAAGATGAGACCAATCTGTATATCAGAGCTGGCTTTTGCAGACGATGTGGCCCTGATAGCTAAATCAGAGGCACACCTTCAGTCCAACTTACTTGTCTGGAAGGAAGAGCTTGAAAAGAAAGGGATGACCATCAGTGTCTCCAAAACTAAAACCATGGTGATCTCAAGAGAGGAGAAGAAACACCAGATCATGATGGGTCAGTATGCGTTGGAGCAGGTTAACCAGTTCAAATACCTTGGAGTTGTATTAGACCAAAATGGAGGCATTAAGACTGAGCTGGCTACACGAAAAGCAGCTGCTGGGAGACTCTTCCAGGCCATAAACCGAGGGTTTCTTAGCAAAA